TTCTTCTTCTTCTTCTTCTTCTTCTTCTTCTTCTTCTTCTTCTTCTTCTTCTTCTTCTTCTTCTTCTTCTTCTTCTTCTTCTTCTTCTTCTTCTTCTTCTTCTTCTTCTTCTTCTTCTTCTTCTTCTTCTTCTTTCTTCTTCTTCTTCTTCTTCTTCTTCTTCTTCTTCTTCTTCTTCTTCTTCTTCTTCTTCTTCTTCTTCTTCTTCTTCTTCTTCTTCTTACCTCCTTATTTTTGTAAATGTCACTAGCTTCCTTCTCCGGTTTTTGTTTTTGTTTTTTTTTGTCTGCCTTTATTTTGGCTTATTGGTGGGTTCCGGTTCAAAAGCATTTAAACAATGGTCTCATGTTGTCTCAAAGAGTGTCCTATCCTAAAATAGCGTCTTTTCTTTATCGTTTGATTCATTTGGGATTTGTTTAGTTAATTCCCAAAGTTCGACACTGGCGATTCTAAAATACAATTTAATGTTTTCTATTCTGCGCAAGCGCTAGTTAACAAATATCTGTAGTTTATTAGTATTTTTTTTTTTAGTTTATCTCCGTGTTTCAGATCCATACAATAGTACTGATTTGACATTAAAATAAAAAAGCCAGCTATCTGAATGCGACAAATACTTACATTGCCATCTGTATAGTAGCTAGACAAGGGTTTACAGGCGAAAATGTACCTTGAAAACGCAACGTAAAGGGAACACCTTCTTCATGGGGCCTTACGGGATAGCAGAGGACAACGGCTAAAAAGAGGTGGCTCTTGGATGTAGCGGGCAGAAGTCACAGTAAGAACTGTTTGTGCTACTGACAAGTTAGAGCACAGTGAACAATGAGTTACAGTCCCCCCCCCCCCCCCCCCCCCCAACCAATCCCCCAGCAAAACAGACTTGAAAGTTACTTTGAACCGAGGCTGTCGGAAATGTATAGCCGATGAAACAGGCAGCAGTGCAAGAGCTGATCAATTAAAATTCAAGCACACGTTACACCATAATGCATACAGATAGGTCGGCAGTGAGAGGTAAGAAAAGTGGGTGGTGTTTTACTGCAAAAGTGAATGGACACTGCTTGAAAACAGAGAGCCTCGTATACAATGTCACTATATCCAATATGAGAATGGAGATTAATGAGGTTGCGACTGGTTCTGTTAGCATGAAGAAGAAGACAGAGCACGTTTGGGAACGTCCCGAGTGCAATCAAGTCTTGATTCGTTCAGTTTCCCAGACACAACCTCAGATACGCACATTTCTTGAATTCTGTCCATGAAAGCTTTGCTGCGAGCAGCATAATAGTTTGAAGGCTTGAGATTTTTTCATGTGGACTTCTAGTAAGTTTTCATGGTCTCTGTGTAGTAAGATCGGACGCCCCTGTGTATTGTTGCGCACATAAAAAAAAAAATCCGTTGGCAGCGGGAAATTGAAAAGCGTGGCAAAACAGCGCTGCCCGGGCACAAATGTGGAGTTACAAATCTACCTAAAGTATTTTCAGGATCCTTACGGGTGCTGCGGAGTTCGTGCACTGCGCTGAAAATCTTTTGACTCAGGCTTAAGTTTAGCCCAAGTTTTTAAATCGTATATATGTGTGTATCTATGTATGCATGTGTGTGTATATGTATGTATGTATCTATGTATGCATGTGTGTATATGTAAGTAAGTATGTATGTATATGTAAGTATGTATGTATATCATAATCAATATATGCGACTTTGTTTATAATGCTGTAAGAATATGAGCGGAGCTTTATTAATATCCTACCCCAAACAGGGAAAATCCACAGGTCACGGGGCAGCCTAATATTTTAGAGGGTGGTAGATAAGCTGCATGGAGTCGTGGGACCTAAGCTGTATGCATTCGTGGGACGTGGTTGGGTTGGGGTTAGGGCTAGTTTTAGATGATTTGGGGTTGTGAAAAGCATCAGAAAGCCGGGAAACTCAGTCTTACCACCCTCTAAAATGTTGGACTATCCTGTGATGTCATCTGGGGTAGGATATTAATAAAGAACCGTATGAACGCCTGCGGAACATGATATGATGTACGGACCATCGCCGGAAGTGCTCAGGAGCAACTCACACTAAAGGGCAAATAATCCGTTTCCTACTTCCTTTTTATGAGAAACTACCAAAATGGTGGGTGGACAAGAAATGTCGAAAATTTTATATACATTTCAATCGTCACAGTATCGTTTGTAAATTATTAAATCTAGCGTTAAAAATTTTATTTTGACATTATTTTTTATAATTCTTCTTAGGGTATTGACATCTGTCACAAGTATGACAGGAAGGTCCGTAGGACCGAGCCGAGAAGTGAGGATATCTATCTACGACTTTTGGTGAAGGTAAGATTTAACAACAGAATATTAATTATTATTATGGAGCAAGTCCTGTGCAGAACGTCGCTCTTATCACGCCGTTACCCCTGCCTCAATCTGGTCTGGTAGTCTTAGTTTCAGCTTCATAGCAAACGGGTTGCCCCATCTTTGCTCCGCTCCTGTGCCAGCGAAAAACACTCAGAATGTCTATCACTATCACAGTCCCTTGTGGAAAGATTGACAGACTGCTGTCTCAGCATATCTAGCATACACTGGCATTAAAGCATATGGTAGCCATCCGAAGTGCTAACACAAACAGTCCAACATTAGAAATGCAGGCACTTCTTTGATTTATTCCCCAAAATGGCGGCATGCCACATTCTGGCCATAAAATATCCAAAAATATCCGAACGACGGTGTTCGCGTATATCTAAAATAAGGACTTTCTGCCAAGGAACAAATCGCGGCAAAACTAGGATTACTTGACAACCAATATCAACATTTGCACACGGTACTAGTAGCAGACGATAAATACCGACCGTTGACAAAAATTTCGAACGTTTCTGCAGACGACGATACTAGCAGACGATATTAGCGACCGTTGACCAATTTAGAGACATTACAGACGATGAAAGCCGATTAGCAATACTGTGTTCTTCCGATTAAAGCGGTAGATGTCAGACTTGTTGGCATGCGCCAAACGCGATTAAACTCATCGCCGAGCGTATCTAGGTGCCTGGGACTCACGAGTACAGTAATTGGAGGAAGCTGCAGGAGATGCGGTAGCTGCCACTCGTGAGTCCCAGCCATCTAGTTTAGCTCCCATCCGCGCCGCGCGTAGCGGCGCGGGGGATACACTCGGCGGTGAGGCACACACTCGCAGAAGCAGGTCGGCAAGCAACGTATCGCCCAGACCCTCTCAGAGCATTTGTTTCGTTATTCGGAGCCGGCACATATATTTTTAATAGAACTGACCCCGCATTTGGATATTTTATGGCCAGAAATTGGCCAATTTAGCTCCTTTTTGAACGCCATCATATTACAGCCGCCATTTTGGGGAACGATTCAAAGAAGCGCCGAAATGCAGTTCATCATTGATGATAGCAGAACTTGTCGTCAACAGATCAGCAGTTGTCCGCGTGATCAATTTTAATACGGGTCCCGCAAGCATTGAACGACAGGCATCACGCCATTTTCGGAATCTACAATTCACACCACCACGTTGGTCACAGTCGAAAAAAAACATTCTAAATGCAATCCGCAGCTCACAGGGTCACGCCATGCATTCAACTCAGAAGCTGGGCGACGAAACTATATCCAGTCTACAAATGGAGCAAAAATGCATCGGCCACCGTCCGGCAGAAGCAAAAAATTTGCCGCTGTATAGCGTCCATATATTTTTTCTTTAAACCATTGGCCTTTCAAACTACTGAACGTAAATTTTGCCTAGAAAAACCAAAACAGCCTAAAAATGCTGGAGTTAATTCTGCAACGTCCTGTAATTTACTGTAAAGGATATCATATCCGATATGCAACCAACATTGGCCTTTGTTATGGTTAAAGTGAAGCTTTCGGCTCTCCTTTAAATAACGGTCGCTAGCTGGAAGGCGACAGTCACTTTGTCGGAGTTCACTCCCTTGGTTGCAGTGCAAATACGGAGTGGTAAAGAGGGAACAAAACAAATGATATAGTTACCTGTCATCCTAGGGTTTGGGGTAGGGTTAGGGTGACACATCACGGAAACGACGGAAGCTTATCGCTCATTATGACATACAGATCCGCAGGTCTCACATGTTTACGGTCACTAAGTCGTGCGTCGGAAGAACGCGGTTAGGCCTCGATATTTTAGGATCATTATTCAGAGGATAGCTGAAAGTTGTGTGAGGGCATGGTTACATGTCAGTGTTTGTCCAGCTAAATAGGAAACCTGAGTTGCCGGTCTCATCATGATAGTTCTGGGCTATCCTCCGAACAGGCACAAAAGATAGCGGTCAATGTCGGAAAAAACAGGGCCTCAGTCACATGTCAATTGCTCACTTCCGGCGACCTAATTGTGGTTTTCCGGCGACTACCGCCACAGCCGAGAGTATTCCTTACGCCGCTAACACGGCGTGGATTGGGGCTAAACTAGATGGCTAGAACTCACGAGCAAAGCTGCAGGAGATGCAGAAGCTGCTGCTCGTGAGTCCCAGCCATCTAGTTTGGCCCCAATCCACGCTGCGTGAGGGATACTCTCGCTAGTCGTGTGACTGAGGCTCTGTTAGAGTTTTTGCGGCCATCATCTTTTGTGCCCGTTATTCTGAGGATAACCTAGTTCTGTTGTGCCGTAAAGTCACATGTGAGAAAGTCTCTGTTCCTCCGTTCTGTCCTGTGAAATTAGTTCAGTGTCGTAGATTGGATGGAATTCAGACCAGCAGCTTAAGCCTCATTTTATAAGTGCAGACTGAATATTTATAAGATGAATAAAAATGCCTGATGCAACATATTTCAAAGGTTTGTGAGGCATAGAAATTGTGCTGTCCTCATCTTTATGCATCTCTAGGAGGAGAGTAAACAAAAACATCAGTTTTTAAAACTTGCAGACTTCCAAATATTCTTTTTTAAATGGGGCCAGTTAAATGTTAAGGCCAAGTCCTGAGTAAAAATTAAAAACAAGAGCATAACTATAAAAAAAATTTAAAAAATCATGATTTGTTTTTGATTCCTAAATTTTGAACATAGGTTTAAAGCAAACAACCATCAATACAGACAGGCGTGTCTGTTGTGAAGTGGTTGAGCTCTTAAAGGTCGTGTGTTCATTTCACGCCTGTATACAATTTTTAGTTACCAGGATCCCTTCAGCACCATCACCTGAGCTACGGTTTATTCAACGTTTACTGCAGCTGGATTGCAATTCTGCTGAGAAACGCAGACGTATAGGATAAAAGCGGGTACAATGAATTCCATCATCTTGACTAACCTTTGCTTTATACATTAAGCAAAAAGAATATGTAGACAAACTGCAGACCTTCCAGAAATTGGTTGTCCACTTAACAGTATTCCAGAACAAACCCCATGGAGAGAGAAATGCAAACAGTAAAAATCTAGACAAATGTGAAAGAAATATTTGACAAGAAAGAACAAGATAGTGTACAATGCAGAATGGCCACCCTGTTATATTGATGAACACCCACAAGAACAATGGGTCAGAGTCTATACAGATGGGTCCGCAGAAAGTGCAGTTAGAAATGGTGGTGCTGGAGTGTACATAGAATTCCAAGACGGTACTAGGGATAAGTCCAGTGTACCAACCTGAAAGTACTGCCATAACTATGATGCAGAAATTCAGGCTATCAAGAAAGCAACAGAGAAACTGCTAAATACCAATCTTGGCTCACATTATGTGGTAATGCTAACAGATGCAAAATCAGTACTTGAAGCACTCCAGTCTTGGGAAACTACCAGAATTGCAAACACTGCTGACACAACTTAGCCTTCAACGAAGAGTTGTAATGCAGTGGATACCATCACATTGTGGAGTGCCTGAAAATGAGAAAGCTGATCAAATGGCAGGAGAAGGTGCGACAAAAGTGCAGCTGGATGTACCAGTCACATACCACCAAAAGAAAAGAATCATTAAATCAATCAGGAAACCACCAGCCCCATCACAAGACGACTTATTTTATTATTGACAGATCAGAACAAGTCATTATCCTCCGCCTCAGAATAAGGCACACCCGATTACGTAACCACATGTACACAAAATTCAAGATAGGCGTATCAGCCATGTGCAGCTGTGGAAAGGTGCCACAGACAGCAGAGCATGTACTCCAGGACTGCACCCAATTTGACACATTAAGGCAAACTTTTTGACCAGAACGAACAACAATGGAACGTAAACTCTATGGACCACTGAACGAATTAACAACAGTGAAAGTTATACAAGAGACAAAACTGCTGATATAGACAACTTATTTCAGGCGAACGAAAGAAGAAGAAGACTGCTAACCTTTTTTTTTTTTTTAAAGAAAACCTGAATGACATTTCCTTGTGCTTTATTGTGGTATTATAGGCTTCAGTTTATTGAGTCAGATTGTAGAGATTTTAGCTCTTCTCCCAATGACGGGTCTGAGTAATTTGGTTTACAAATATATCCTAACAGGCCCCCAATATGCTTGTTTCTGTTTAAGTTGCATCCATAACCCTTCAATGTTAACCATAATTCATTTGTACCTTTTTGAGGCCCTGTAAGGGTAAATTTTTAAACAGTTATCAAGACCCGTATTGGGAGGAGAGCCGAGATTTTAGTTCTAGCTTATCAAAAATACTTCTGCAAAAGCATTCATTTATTGTATATTTATTAATATAAAGATTAGCCGTAAACACACATGGAATTTGTTAAGTGATCTAAAGCATCAACCAGTTATGTTTATGGCACTTGTCTTTGTTTAGTCTGGTACCTTTAGTCTCAAATCAACATTTGAGAAATGTAGGGAAAAGAACGTTCAGGTTAGAAATGTGCTGCTGGAACTTGATTACCTACACCCTGCAGCTTGTGTCGAGAGGGCATCTGTGTTAGCCTCAAGTGTTTGAAAGTTCACTTCTTTTCCTTTTTTTTTGTGATGGCTTCATTGATTTTACATCAACATACAAGGGCTATCTTCCGAATAACGGTCCCAAATTATCGAGGCCAAAAATAGACACTAACAGCACCTCAGTCACGTATCAATTGCGGACTTCCGCCACCGCAGAGAGTATCTCCCTGCCTTCTATACCAGTATTGCTGACCTCAGGATCTTGTTAGAGAGTTGGCTTATCCCTTGCCTTCACCTTGTTTGTTGTCCCATCCAGTTTTCTGCAAGGGGTTGAGACCTAAACCTTCCACTGGATTGCTTGGAATAAGGTCTAGTACATAAAGGTAAGGTCGACTTGACCAAAAGAGGCTGGTAGACATTGTCTTGTATTGCCTATCATTTCTCCATTTATACCCCTACAAGTTTTCTAATGTCTGCCATTATCCACTTAGTCTGCATAACATTTTTGCTGTCCGTATCATGTTAACATTAGGAAGTAACCAAATATTTCATCATTTCACTAGTCAGATATTGCCCAATTTCACATTTATTATAGTCACTATACACTGTTACAGACTTGATAATATTGTAGACATTACTCTACAGTTGTACCGCTTTCTGGCAAGACGCACCAATTCCACCTTCAACAAGGTCGTCCTGAAAAGACTGTTTATGAGCAGGACAAACCGCCCTCCTCTGTCGGTGTCCAAGCTGGTGAGTCTTTTGTGAAATAAAATTAAGCATGTATCTATTTTACTGACTTCATTGGAGGTGCAGCTAGATTTTTTTAGTGTTTTATCTGAATTAATTTTATTTTCTTTATCAGCTTATTGTTCCCTTTTGGGGGAAAAAAACAACCTTTATTTGTCATTTCATGCACCAGCTAACTTGATGCCCATCTCTCATTGTTCATGTCTCTAATTCTCTTTGTGTTTTGAGGTCCCTCATTATCTTTGGCTGTTTCTCTTTCCAAGTTCTGGTATTGTTATTCTGTCTATTCAGTTCCTTCTATTCAGTGACAGCAATTATTTAATGTTCGTAGTTCTTCTTCTTCTTGTTCACCGGCTGTGAATTCCGGCGGTAAGTCTCGGTTGTTCGTCCAAAATGGACTTTTGGCTTTTACCTTGACCTGAGTTTTGCGTGTACATCCGTTTTACTGGCTTATTTGTTTGCAGTTCTCGTTCCCCGCCTCTCCGGCAGATGTACTCCGACTTCGGAGGAAATGTTCGTAGTTAGTTAATACTGCTTTCTTTCCTTGTTTTTGCTATTCCATTGTGATGGTACAGTTTAAGTTTGGGGATGGGTTAAATTTTATTCTGCTTGCAGTGATTTCCTGTCTTTTTGAAAGCGTTCCTTACTGTATAGTATTTTTATGTCTCTGTTCCCACACCTCTGGATTCCTGCCAAACAGAAGGGAATTCATTAAGTTGTGCAGCAGTAATTGTGCATAATGTAGCTAACTGGCTGGTACTGAATTTGTTTGGTCATACGCCTGCATGTTTATCCTTTAGTTGTTCATCCTTTTAGACTCTCAATTACTTTAGAATGACAGCCTGATAGTCTCTCATGATTTTCCTTATGCTCTCTCTTTGGCAGCTTTATCACACACACACGTGTGTGTATATATATATATATATATATAAGGTCTAGTATATATATATATATATATATATATATATATATTTATTTCCAACTCCACCATACACAAGTCAGAATGCAGTGATGTTTAGAACTTATGATGTTTCAATTCCAGGTCCGTTTAATGAAGAAGCCAGGCCGTGAAGACAAGATTGCTGTGGTAGTTGGAACAATCACTGATGACATCCGCATCCATGCACTGCCAAAACTTAAGGTAGGTGATTCCATTCATTTTGATTTTATTTTGTACTTAATACAGATGGGACTTTGTGGTCCATAAGAACACCTTAAATCAAGGAGATTAAGAAACAATTAACCCAAGCTCTTTCATGGCGAGGTTTTTATTGGATTTGCCTGTTCACCACATGGTTTGGTCAGAATATTGATTGCCAGAACTACAATTATAAATATGTTTCTTTTGTCTTTTCTTAGATTTAAAGTCTAGCATTGTGGGGATTAGATGATGTGACATGGTATTTTAGTGTGCTCCTTTGGGAGGGAACTAGTTTCTTATAAATCAAGAGCTACATTGGACAGACACAGACTGAGATAGCACAAGTTGAGCGGAAAAGGACATCTAACTGCACACATAGGCATAAATGTCTTTTTTTGTGTGTGCTTTTAATGTTCACTCTTAAAATTAATTTTGTTTTTGGTGTGTTTTATTTGTTAGCGTCCATATTTGTACTCTTTCTCCCTACCCACCCCTTTTCTCTTTGTCTGTTTGTCACTGCCCTCTCCTCTTTCTCTCTGTCTCCTGTCCTCTCCTCTCTTGCTTTGGCTCTCTTTTTCTCTGTTTTTGTCCCTCTGTTCCCTCTATACTGTCTTATTTTTTTGTCTAAATCTCTCTGCTTGCATCTCTTTTTCTGCATGTTTCATCTCCATCTTTTTTCGATATATTATTTCCTTTTTCTCCTATCTTTCTTTCTCTTCTCCCCATCTTCATTTGCTTGTCTGATCTTTTTGTCTTTTCCTCTTTCCCCTTTTCTTTGCCTATCTCTATTTTCTTGCTTTGCCTTGTCCCCTCTCTATGCTGTCACATCTGTCTTTCTCTTGGCTTGTCCCTTCTCACTTTCTCTCTCCCGTTATCTCTCTTTTTTCCGCCTTTTCTGTCTTTCCCTTCATCTGGCCATCTCAGTACCTGCCTGTTCCTTTCCCCCCACTCTTTTTGTCTCCCTCTTTTTCACAGTCTCTTCTATTCACCTTCAGCATCTGTCTTTATGCCCCCCCCCCCCATCTAAAAAGATGTGAAAACGCTAAATGCGTTTGAATATTGACGTTTGTGTGCATAAATAAAGTACCCATATATGCCCACAAGCAAAGCAACAACAAAGAACCTTGGAGAAAGAAAAAAAGTTTGCCAGTTTGACTGCGAACTGTGCTTGTAGTAACCTGCTGTGGTGACACCTTTCTTCATTCTGAGAACTAATTTATTCATTCATTTCATGCACACATTTTAATCACTAATATTATGTTCATGTCTGTTGTTTTTTTATGTGCAGATATGTGCCCTGCGTATCACTGATCGTGCACGTGGCCGCATTCTGAAAGCTGGAGGCGAGATTCTGACCTTTGACCAACTTGCTCTGCTTGCTCCCAAGGGACAGAAAACTGTCTTGGTTCAAGGTAAGTAATTGCCCTCTGGCAGTGGTAGACAGCACAAGATCTCTTTTTCCTGTTCATATACGACAGATAGAATGCACCATAAACCAGTCATATGAGAAACTGATGTGTGTGTGTTAAAAACACCAAGGTAACTTAAGCCAAATAATTATTGGTGCCCTGTAATATATGCTAGGTAGTTCCCTTTTCACACTGTTAGTGACACAAGAAAAGTGATAGCCATACAATTTGGACCACATTCGTGAAAAAGATGAGTTGAACAAATTTTCAAGTCAGTGAAGTATACTATTTTAGAACGGTCCTTCAGAGGCAAACGTGACTGCCCACCCCAATCAGCAAGTCATTTGATCATGATTAGTTTTTTTTGGGGAAACATTTTGCCTTTTAGTTTTTTTAAATAGTTGTATGAAGGAAAAAAACACCTAATTAGGAGAAAGATTCACATGCCTGTTACCATGCCCCCCCTCCCCCTTTCCACACACACACTTGCCAGAATGTGTGACCTAAAAGGCATGTGCCAGATGCACGCATTACCATACTGTTTTGCTAAGTTTCAAGATGAAACAACGCTAAAGGTGTCTTGCATGTCAAAGACAAATACACCTATTTCTATAGCCACTGCAATCCTAGACCTGGGGGGCGTGTGCAGGACGTGACGATTCCAGCGGGTGTGCCCAGGACCCAAATGTTATGTGCATTTATGAAAGCCTCCTTGTGTGGCAGAGAATGTCCATAATCTGCCCTTGCCGACCGGCCTACATTTGTTGGTAAAGGGACCGAAAAGAACACCAAACAAATCAGACCAAATGTCCCTGTCCCACGAAACAACCTGAGAAGTTAACCTGGTGAACATTTGCTCGATGGTGATGTGTGCGTCAGATGACAGGCACAAATACTGCGGCACTGCTGTAAACAGGCACAGTTCATGTCACACGGACGAATAAGAAAAAGAAATAGCCATGTCCTCATTTGGTAGTCTTCATCATGTTTTTTAATGATCCACAACACTTTTGTAGAGCTGCATATAGTAGTTTCAACTATAACATCAGGGTCATTGATCCTCCAGGGCTACATTTGAGGTCATTAATTAAGGGTGTTGCTTGAAAATTTGAGTGCATCTGCTTGATTGATTTGATTTAATTCAAGAAGCGACATCACATCATTCGGGGCATTCCTATAAGCGCTCTGTCCCCTTCTTCAGCAGCCAGTGCAGAGTTCCCATACTAATGGTGCCATTAGCATTCTGATTTAGCGTCCATTATGCCTTTCCTCTGAGCCTCGAGCATCTGCTAGAACCTCTCGTCACTCCCCCCTGCAACAGTCTCACCACCAGAGATTGATGTTTTGCCTGAAAGGCAAGGAACTAACGATTTGCATACAAAAATAAACCAGATATGCAAGCAACTCTTGAGTTTTATAACACAGTCAAATTTCAGGAGTGGGTGAATAAAGAACGGTGGTGATAGTATACGTCAGTGAAGAATTATTTACCATTGCTCTTGTGTTATTCCAAGGAAGTATACACTCAACCCTTATTTGCCCCTACAGGTCCACGTAAGGCTCGCAAAGCCTTCAAGCACTTTGGATTGGCTCCGGGTGTGCCCCACAGCCACACTAAGTATGATTGTATTCTTGTTTATCCTGACTTTTATTTTAGTACAAGAATATTGGCCTCATTATATATAATAGTGGTTTGTTCATTTAGCATTCGTAGATCCTCGTTTTATTTCAAGTTCATACTGTCAACTGTTGTGCAGAGATAATGGCATCATATCATGAGATTCTTGTCTGTGCCTGGGGGGATCAGTATGGGCAGGAGTGGAGATGAACCAAAGTCCCACACTGCATTAGGTTCTAGTGTTAGCTTGAAGGTCACATTGTTGGTATACAAGGTAAAAGACTAGAGGGACTTAAGATGTATTGTTTGTGATCATCTGTTATTGTATGTATGTATGACTAAGAAAATTATTCTGGCTAACACCCAAAATTTTTGAGGATAAGCTGGAAATGTCAACAACCTCAAGTTAACTGCTTTTTCTTCAAATATATCCACACTGACATCTGAAGGTATAAGAAGAATAAAACTGTCCGTTATTCTCTGAGCTAATTGTCCCTAGAGATGCAGAGCTCGAAAACAATGTAAAACTATAGTGGATGAGAAAGTCCACTGCAGTAAAAGACTAACATACAAGAGAAGCAAAGTACTCAATTTGTGGTGTAGGTAAATGAAATCTCAGGTCTGCAGGCTGCATACTGTTGGCTACAAAAGAGACAGCCCATGATGTATGAGATGTTCAATACATGAGTCATGAGCAGGACATGACGATTTCTTGGGTGGGTGAGCCCAGTACCAGAGCACCATGTATTAGCTTTGCTTTTGTGGAAGCCTCCTTGGATGGCAGGGAATGCTCATTTTTTGCCCCTGCTTTTCTTGAGGGCTGATCAGCATTATGTTGCCTCTCTGGATGAGCCTGATTGGGGCACCTCCTGTGACCTGGGAAAAAAAGATGACCGCACAACAGTGAGACTGCCATGTCCCCAGAAAACTAACCGAAAACAAATGCCTGCAGAAGTCGGATGTGTTGGCCAAAATGTGCAAATATCGCAGCCATGATGTAAACGGACAACACAATTACATCTTTGGATGAACGAAGAAGTATGTATGACTTATATCTGTGGACATGATAAACAGTTATTTTCTTTTCTGTACAGGCCTATTGTTCGCTCCAAGGGTCGCAAGTTTGAGAGAGCCCGTGGTCGCAGAAAGAGCAGAGGATACAAGGCATAAGTTCAGTGGATTCTACATTCTGTTGTATTTCCAGTGCTGTCTGTTCAATAAAGTATGGACATTTACATCTTGTGTCTGTCATTAAACTTCGATTGTGCATTCTGTCCAAATGAGAATGTTAGTGATCCAGCCACAGCTAACAGATCAGTTCGGCTGGAATTGACGGTTAAGTGTTTCCTGCACTTACTTTGTCATCGTAGACCAATGTGATTAATGTTAATATAAATAAGACCAGGCACTGCCATTATAATCGCTAATTATTTTTTTACCTCAACTTCTTCACTTCCTCTTTTACCGCTGTGGGTGTCGAGGGAGATATAAGGTTCTGTTTCTGGCTGCCTCGACTATAGGCACATCGTGCTGTTGTAGAGTTTCTATGATGTTATCCTTCCATCTTGTTCTTGGTCTACCCCGTGCTCTACGTCCTTCTTCTCTTTCCATGTATGCTTTGTATGGTATGGTGTCACAAGGCATTCTCAACACAGAGGAGAAATAGTTCAAGAGATGCAAAAATTCAGATAATGTACCTACTATAGCATGTAAACATGCATCCACTATTATAGCATACTGTAAACATTTTTAGAACGTGTACCTTTCCTGTGGTGTCTTCTAGATGTAAATCAAATTCAAAATCACTACTATATATTATTCGTTTTGCCCCACTGCCGGTCTGTATTTTCCTCTCTCTCATATCCACTTCTGAAGTACCAGTTTGTTGTGGACATCTCCGCTGTCTCATGTTCTTACCCTGTTGACCAGACATTACTTTTTTCCTGCATTGGTATCTTTTTTAGGCAGTGACCACTGAGGCTTTTGTTGCAGTTGCAGTGTGTAACTTGCAGGATATTATTATATCCACTAAAAATGGGATGAGAAAAAAATGTCATGTGTGGCTATTTCAACAACTAACTACTTTCCTGCAGAGACTTAGTATACAAGCTATGGATTTGGGCCTTTGGTAGCACAATTCATAACCAGTTGTGTATTTTACTCATTGTGAACCGACCCGTCACATGAGTTTAAAATGTTGTAATTTTTGTTAGTAGCTAATTAATCTCGGCGGTGTAGAAGTTGGATTTCTGTGGTGGACACGTTAGACACTACGCCTGGCTCACTAGCGCAGTTGGCTAAACTGTCTGCGCTGTGACGAACTCCTTGTGGTCCGGGGGTAGGCAGAAAAGCTACATTTCTCACAGATTTACTGGCTGATCCATGGCCAAAGGGTTAACAACTCGTGGTTTCTAGATAAAACACCTGCTGAATAGTGAAGTTAAGATAAAGGCAGCATGTTAAAAAAAAAAAGAGGTAACTCCTGGATGGGTCAGGCCAACTATAATTATTCCACATGTGTTCACTTGAGAACATTTCATCTTGTTAGTGTTTCAGTTGTGTTCGACTTTTTTCTGGATGCATCCAACTAGGCACTAAGTCCAGCTGATTGTTTGGTCAGAAATAAGGGTCTTGATGTTCTAGAATTCTCTAGAGGGGGATTCTGTCATTTGTACAGAGGGCCCTGTTGTTCGCCATGTGAGAAGCTCGTAGCCTTTTACAGCTCAGGTTGAAGGAAGAGTTGTGAATCATGATTCTGCTGCTGTTGCCTTGACAAGTAGTCTCACTATTGAGGTCATAGCAATGATGAAAGCAATAACATGGCTGGAGACAGACTTTCATCCATGCATAATTCCTCAGTGAGTCGAGTCAAGAATTGTGACATCCCAGCACTTGGGGCATCCTCATGCACGTTCCAATATTGATGGTGCCGGTCACAATCTGGTTATATGTCTGTCTTGCCTTTACTCTGAGTGTAGTGAGCCGGCCAGACCCTCTGGTTACACCCAGGTGCCTCATTCTCTCCAGGCCATAATAATCTTCTCCCTCTACTGACTCTGTTGCTTGTTCCCAAAGGGCCTTGACCACTTCTACCTTGTCATGTATTGATTCACCACACAGTGGTGCAGATCCAGCCAATCTGTCTGCCTGATTATTACCCATACGCGGGCACGGCCTGGGGAAAAGATCAAAAGTATGCTCACTACCCGTGACCTCTACAGTGAAGCTAACCACTCTGCTTGAAGCATCCCTGTCTTCACCTTTCAGCACGCTTTCAAAGTCTGTTACAATTACGACATTTGTATGCATCTTGTTCTCTAGCCACTGGAGAGCTGCAGTTACCACCTCCATAGAACCCCCAGGTACTTCTCTTTCCTCTTAACACCAAACCATATGTATAGATAATCAGATCACCTTGGCGTTAATTGACGTGAATCAACTCCGTAGCACCGGCTGGCCACTCTCTGCACATCCGGACCAATGTGATCATAACCCTACACAGGTCAGACTTTTTCTCTGGTACTCAGACCCACTCCTCTCACCCTGTGTTCTCCAGTATGCATCTTGCCTTATTGTGTCTTGTGCTTGAGGCATCCACGGTTTCTCGCGTTTCAGCCTCTGATCCTTACCTATAGCCAAAGCTTCATACAGAGGGTGTTCTTTATCTGCAGCTACTCTGAGGTATGACTTAGCCAGCAGCACCTTTGGCCTATCTGCAATGCAAGGGTGTATCACATACACAAAGTCGGGATGTCGCTTGTACATCCCAGGATCACCCGCACAGCTTCATTTTGTATGCGATCCAGTTTCTCTATCTGACTCCTGACATTGAGTAACCCCAATCCATAATCAGTCACTGAGATGATTTAAGTGCTGGTAAAGTGTGAACAGTATTCTCTGCTCTCTGGCCTTTTTAAGCCTTTGTCCCAACCTCTTTGTGATCCCCGAAAGACGTCTATCAAAGGTGATTCCCGGGTACCGCAGTCTGCTGTCTCTGCTAATGTCCCTGCTATTTATTTTGAGTCTAGGAACATTAGCTCTAACAATCCAGTTGTCCAAAAAACACAACAGGATGGTTGCCTTTTCTGGGTTGATTAAGTAATGAGTTGGATTATCTTCACAGCACTCCGGACATATCCATGCGTGCTCAGATTCCCCTCTCAACATATTCATCAGCGTCGCACGGTTAATAATGCCAGTCTTTTGATGGTTAGCAAGACTTCATGTACGTTCTGTGTGCTTCTCATGCTTAGCTGTGCCGATCTTTACTCCCAATTCTCGTATTCTTAGCAGTGATGTGGACACGTTGCTTCCAAAAATCCTCATTACGTCCTCCCTATCTATGGGCATTGAAAATGTCTGCGTGATCCATGCGCCGGTCATCTTTACTCAATGCGGCACCTGCCAGTCTTCCTGCTTTTTCATTACCAACAACACCTGCACACCCTGGGACAAAGATGAAGGTAACTGCACACACAGGATAGTTCTGCAATGACTCAATCCACTGTCCGTTAACCAACCTGGCTCGACCCATGTTTAAAGAATCACTCAGCACACACACGTAGGAATAGTCCTGTGTCACCTCCATAGTCATGCTGCTGGTAGTCATAGAAAAGGCACTGCTGGTTTGTTGAACTGTTCTGTCTGAAGAGCGAGCTGTAAATGCCCATGCACTCTTATGTCCTCAATAACGGACCCGCCTGTGAAGATCACCACATCTGTCTTGTCACTGATAAGCGCGCATACCTCGGTGCTGACAGCAGCTGGATTCTACTCCCGACAACTCCTATTGAGCGTCACGACACCGGAGAATGTGAAATTAGGCGCTTTATACATTGGTATCCATTTCTCACCTGGATGGATGTCTGTAAGGCTGCAAACCTGCATGATGTCATCCTCTGCCCTACCCAGCCATGATTTGTCCCTTTTAAGCCTATTGCCTGCCCTTTTTCTTAAAGAGCATGTGGTGCAAAGGGTGCTTCAGATCTGAGCTTATCTTAAGGTATGCACGAGCCCTCCAGATCTTGATCCTGTAGCTCATGGTAGGGAAGTCAAGAAGGTACCCCATTGCTACACAACAGGTGTCTCCAGTGCGCCCCAGAATAAAACGCATTTTTTTAATGCTTCTCGAGTCTTTCAATCTGAGTATGGCTGACAGTGAGGTTGGCTAAAGCATATTCGATGAGGGAAATTACAAGTCCCTCGAACAGAAGCAGTCTCTGCTGAGTGTTAGCTGCGGCCAGGACCCTCATTGCTGACAGGACTTTACGTGCTTTTGTTATGACATGTTCTTTAAAGAACATTCTGCGATCAAACCACACTCCGAGGTCTGTCATTAGATTTGTTCGCATCAACATTTTCTCGCTGCTTTCCACTGCTGGTATGTCTGGCTTCGCTATATTCAAGAAGAACCACATTAGTGAGGCCTTTGAAGGATTGACATGAGCATTATAATCTACACACCAGGAGACCAGGAGGAGATGCGACCAAGTTTACTCTGCATTGAACTGGCTATCTCTTTCATGTTGATATACTAAGACGTCACTGGCAAATGACAAGGTCCTGCCACTCCCGTGCAACTGCTGCTCATTTATCGGAGAACCTTGAGGCAATCCTGGATTGATGGTTATCGCTTCTGAGGACCAACAACCACACCTGAGTTTCACCCGTCTCCGAAGCAATGCTGCGGGTGATGAGAAGGGAGATACTTGCAGTTGGAGAAGTATGTGTACCAAATATTCAAATGGTACTCTGTTGTACGCATCCTCTAAGTCTAGTGCAGCTGCACATGTCTCTTCTCTCATCTGAAAACCTTTATAGACGAAAACTGCTGCATCTTTGCCTCATCTGTATCCCCCAAGTGTGGATGGTAACCTGACATGCTTTTCCAAGTCATCAGCGAGTCTACTTGTTTCAATTTTCCCCAGAAGCTTGCCTGTAGTGTTCTGCATGGTAATGATTCTGTAGCCACTGATCTTAGAATAGTTTTTATTTGGTTTTGGTAACTGTAGTAGGTAGCTGTGTAGCCACTTCTCTCTGATTTGACAACTTCTGATGCTGACGTTGAACTCTCCTGCTAGTTCTGACATATCGTCCTCTGACATCTGCAACATATCAGCATACTGGATGCCGTTGGGGCCTGGTGAGGTGTTGGACAATTGATTGTTATC